GCATCCAGGCGTCCCTCATGGAGGGCGGGAGAGCTCGCTGGGTGCTGGGTGCTCCTCAGGAGCGCCAAACCCACTGCCTGCCCTGCTCCGTGTCACTGAGGCCGCACAGCTCAAGAGCAGAAGGTCTGAGAAAGAGCCAAAGCTTGTTCTCGGTTTATAAACTTTTATTAGCTGGGTAGTGTACACAGTACTTACAATTGCATCTATTAAAGACCGAAATACACTTGAAAAAATGCATTATATAAAAAAAATTATAAACTTTTAACTATATACAAACTTTGCCTCACATTTCGTTAATTTCAGTACCCTCCCACAGCCATTCACAAAGAAAAGACTTTTCTCGCCCCTTTTTAGCATGCAAGGCCCTAAAGCCGTGTAGCATCACTTGGGGCCCGCTTTCCAAACCCCATTCTTCACTCTCCCATTAAACTGGGTTTGGATCGGTTTGCCACTCCAGTGCTCTCTGGGTCGATCAGCCACCTTTCTTCCCGAGCCTCTTCATCTACCCTCTCTTTTCTGCATTCCTAAGTGAAGGTTTTGCTCAAATGTAGCCAATCCACAAAGAACTGTCATTTAATTACTAGAGAGGTTTGAAGTGAAGCCATCTCCCATTTAATATATTCACCCAGGAAAAGAAAGCAGGTTTGGTAACATGGTGTTGACCGACAACTCCAATCTCACCAAGCAAACATTACTTTTAGAAGTGATACATATAACCCAAAGCAAATGAAAAATAGGACAGTAAAGCTCAGGCTTTCACATCACTATTTAAAGTATTAACAATAAGACTTCCTATATAACACAAATCCATAGGTCTTAATACACATTCTACAACAACGGATCAGAAAACCTATATAGAAGGGCTTACTGGGAAAAACACTCTAGCTGCTTTGAAGTTTTACAAGTTCTTTAAGAAAAGAAGCAATTACTCGTTAAAAAAAAATACCTGTCAGAGCAATAATCTTGCTTCCCTGACTTCCAACTCTCAGAAGAAGTTCTCCAGGATGGAGATCAGCTGTGAACTGAAGAGCAGAAACGTTATGGAGAGGCTGTCTTACTCCAGCACAGAAATAATCCTCCAGCACATGGATACTCCACTGACAAACTGTACAGATGCTCTTAAAAAATATTTACAATAATGCTGCAAATTCAAATAAAGCAGATTTTTTTTGTTATTCCTTCACTACGAGAGCTACATGTTTCCTGAAATGGGTGACCTCACAAGAAATGCCAGGTGAGGATTTCATAAGTCGCCAACTGAAGAGAAGAAGCACCGTGCTCAAACTGGGCAAGTCATTTAAGGCAGAAGCAACCAAAGGCACCAAAGATGCCATCAATGCAATGGAGGTAACCAAATGCCTTTTAAATCATTAGGAAAAAACCCTAACGTAAGATTTGTGAGCAGAGCATTAGATAAATAATATAACTTAAGACAAAATCAAAAGGTTTATTTGCATGTCAAGAACTAGCCACCACTTCCCATAGCTGCAGGTGTCAACCGAGGCCGAAGTTTCCTCCTCGGCCTCAGTTCACCATGTCAGCAGTGGTAAGGGTAGGAACAGGGAACTAAAGATTCAGGAATATGAACTAACTCCACTTAGAAAATCCAGCTGCCTGCTACAAATGCCAAATCTGCATTTCTTTGTTCTTTCGCTGGCTATGTACCTCCACGGGTGGCTGACCTAAGTATTGTCATCCTTTGTATCTCAACTCGCTCTTCCTCCAAGATTGCCTGCTGGCAATGTAGAATCTAACATTTCTCCACATTTCTGCTCCCTCCTCTTGCATTCCTTGCCACCTTCTCACACTCTTAGGTCTAAAATGTCTCTTAATCCAAAGTAAATAGAATTTTCAAGGCTGTGTCTTTTTGTATCCTCTCAGTCTTCTACAACTTGCTGATTTGTCCTCTATTTTATATTTAGTCATAAGCTTTAAGTAAATGTGAAGAACAAAGGGGAGGAGAAATACTATGGGTTGTATTTTTCAAGTTGCATTTACTTTTTATGTCACTTGGAAACAGAATTCACTGAATTTAAGCCAGTCTCACCCATCCTTGGCTGCTTTCCTCAAAACCTTATTGCCCTCTGCAACTTTACCTGTTCGGTTCATCACCACCTCCTCAGTGACAATGCCAGGCAATGCTGCCAATCCCATGCTTAACTCCTGGCAGCTTTATCTTTCAGCTACAGACCACAAGAATTGGAAGAGATGGGACTGCAGCATGCAGGTGATACACAGGGCATCTTAGAACTCATCCATGATGGGAGGAGACAGAAAGATGCAATAATCACCTGTTAAAATGCTTTTATGAACCACAGCTTCCATCATCCAATTTCAGATCAGTACGAATGGAGCAAGCTTAAAATCCGTAATTAGCTGTGGAATTCAAGGTATGTTTTGTCAAGATACTCAGGCAGAAGCCAGCTACTGGTCATGATAAAAAATCCATTGTTTTCAATGTAAGTACTCCTCTTTAAGTGCCACTTTGTTTTTTTATTTAAAGAGGGCAGTCTATCAAAAGCCTGAAAGGCTCATCAATATCTGCCTTCCTGTGTTTAACAGCCCCTCAGTTACACCAGGATGAGCTGCCCTACGCTTCTGCTGTCATAAAACCCCTCACTCCTTGTAGAATGAGAGAATTGTAGAACTGATTTAGAACAGACATCAAGAAACACCATCACAAAGATGGCCAAGTGCTATCGCTCAGAGATTGCAGATTTTATGTCTTTTGGAGGAACCATGCACTGGACAGGCAGGTTAGAAGGAATCCTTTGGAAGAGACTCACTCAGAAGTTTTAAACCTTTCTATACTAGTATCCACTTCTCTTCCAAAGCAACAAGTACTGGGAATAAACATACCAAAAATCACCCCGAGACTGCTTTTACTAATTAAATCCTTATCGCCGCATCACCCTCTCCCATCTTACTTCTTGGAACGGATACACAATATATCAAGTCCTGCAGTGATCTTGAAATATTTCTATCATGGTGACTGGATGGCTGAGCTTTTCCCAGAGAAGAGCTTGCTTTTTACATATTTTACAAGGTGGAACTTAAAAGAATCCCCCTTCAGTTTCTGCCAGTTCAGAAGTGCAGATGCAACAACAGGGAACAGTCCAGTTGACAGTGAAGTCCAAAGGTGTAAGGAGTGGATGTAAGGAACAAGTTTTTGTGGGAAAACAAAGTAGTTTTGTGTGGTGTAGCCACATTGGTGCTGGTTGCTAGAAGCTGGATGAAGTCTCTGTACAGAAGGGCCATAACTCCAAGAAGTCTCTGCTGGCCCTGCTTCAGCATGCCAGAGTTATTGCTGATCACCGAGTCAGCAGCACGCTCTCACCTATGGCCAATCTTAATGCAAGAGATGTTTAGAAGAAGGAGAAAAAGGCATGAGCAGTCAGCCTCTGAAACCCCTGTGCTGGATCAGAAGAGCATACCAAGCAAGTTGGTAAGTTTCTATTTGTTGAGTGAACTGCAGTTAAAATCTCAACCACATACTGAAAACGTGGTGCTCGTTCTGTAGAAAACGATGGGCTGTGATATGGCAAATGTCCCATTGAAAGACTCGCTTGATACACTGGAAAGAGAGGAGAGACTTGCAGAGGGGACAGGAATTCTACTCAGTTATATGTTTCCTTTAGGCAGCAGTTAGGACACTCTGATCATCTGTGTCATTGCTTCTTCATTGGTCTGAGTTGGATCCTACAGATACAAAATACATACCAGGTTGTAACATCAGTATTTTCCTGTAACAGCAGAGAGAATCATGCACAACTATCAAGAAGAGATACTCCTGTCCCTCCTTGATCTCTGAACACGTTGTATTTTTCCTGGGTTTTACAGGCCAGTGTAAGCGAATGGGATATATAAATCTTAGTAGTTTCTAGTAGTTTTAGTAGTAGTTCTTGTAGTTTTGTTTCTGGTAATAGAGAAGACCTAGTAGTGGTTGAGTACTGGAAAGGATTCTACTTCAGAAAAAGAAATATTCTTCTGCTACAGCCACAGCACTGCTTTAAAGCACTAATCAACAACAGAATTTGCTAATTCTACTCTCGTGTCCCTTCCTTTGAAAACCTGTCACACACTTTTCATGTAAATCAATATGCAGCTAGGAATCAGATACTCACATTTTCTAATTTTCCAGCAGATGCAGATAAGGTGTCTCTACCTTTAATTCATGTCCTAAAAATCACTTCTGGTATGCAACCAGAAAGTCTGCAGAGGCTGTATTTCTTAGGACAAACACAGCCTTCTCTGATTGTACAACACAGTGAATACACTTCTATCAATAACACTCTAATTATTCGAGGCTCTCTACAAGAGACAGAATATTTCTTTACACTGCCTGAAACATAAACTCAAAGGCAGAGAGGGACAAAGGTCAGCAGCCTAGCCCAAAGAAGAACAAACAGAACGGTACAAAGACACTTCCAAAGGGTATTCTGAAGCAGTGGAAGTGCCAGTTGTCTAAAGAACAGACAAAACACCACTTACCTGCATATGAGGGCTGTCTTTTTCCTTTGGTGAGAAGAAACGTCCACCTTCTCCCCGCTTCCTGGCCATGGCATGACGATGCCGAGATTCATGCAAGTATTTCTGCGACAGGATGAAGCAGGCAATGAGAGACCAACCCACTATCTCTAGTTCAGCACGTAGAGCAGGGGAAATTCCTGACTGCTAGAAAAGCCTACCCAGTCCCCATCCTTCCCCTTTCCCCAAAGATGAAGCGTTAACAGTAAATGCTCATTTGCAATGCAGCTACATTCATTCACGTTCAACAATCAAAAGTATGCAGAGGAAGCACGACTGCCACCAAGTGACTTAAACAAACATTACTCTGATGTAGCTTATGAAGACACAAAAAATAACTAAGATCACTCTAGTCCTTGTTTTCCAGCACAAGTGGTTTTCTGTGCCTTTCCCATAGAGCAACCCTGTATTAGATAGGAGTTATATTCTCACCCTTCTTTCTTTGGGAATTTTTCCCTCTGCTTCAAGCTTAGCACGTGCCTGCCTCCTCTTCAGGATCCGGTGATACTGCTTGGCATTTACATAGAGGGGCTCTTCTTCCAGCATTTCTGCCCCAGGCAAAGGTATTCTCTGGATAGCTGGTACTGATCCAGCTCCAGGTACCATCTGTACAGAGAATATGAGTTTAGTGCTTGTAGCTCAGAACACAAAATGAATGCAGAAAAAGTAACTAAAAAAGAAAACCCACGAATGTTAAAATGAAAAATGTTTGGGTTTGGTTTAGATAATGCACCTACTTCAATTAAAAGGAGTAATAAAGTTGTTCTTAAACTGTAGAACAAATTTAAAGAAATCAATTATTTATAAGCATGCTTGGGGACTTTATTTTCTTTTAATAATGGTAAAATTTCAATACAATATATGACCATGCTACTGCTTCTTGTACAATTAATCATACAGGACATGCCCATTGCTTCCCTTTCTCTTTGGTTATCACTTATTTAATTTATATAGTAATTTCTTAAGCAAATATTACTTACAGAGCTGCTGACATCTAGTGGGGACGAACAAGAGAATACAAGTTAAAAGGCCTCACGCTACGAAGAAGTAGGGGTTGGCAGAAAAAGCCCTCTTAGGAATCAAAAAAACCCAAATACTAAGGAATCCTCCAAAAAAGCAAGAGCTGATTCAGTTTTTTTAAAGCTTTGCTTATCAGTGAACGACTTATTTTGAATTTCAGTTTCTAGATTTCTGAACTCAATAATCTGCTGTGGGGCAAAGACAGCCCAGAATAGGTAGCTCACAACAGGCCACTGAAACTCAAAACTTCTCTTGTTGAAATTCGAAATTAATGCTACTGAGAAGACTGACCATATTAAGGTGACATTAATCTCAGACACCAGTTTGTGTACAGGCATCTTAAAACCTCAAACCTTTAAAGACAGCAATGGAAAGTTCAAGACATACCATAACCATTCCACCTGAATTGACAACATTTCCAGCAACCGGCAGCGTTACTGTGACAGTCCCTTGTCCACTACTGGTTGTGTTGGTGTTGGCTCCCGTTTGGACAATTTGTGCTCCAGCCAAACTGGCTGCTGGAATGGTGATCATGCCTGTAACAGGGACTGTAACTTTTAAGAAAATAAAAGACAAAAACACAAAACCAAAACAAACCAAAAACACGCACACAAAAAGAAGGGAACACCATTAGTCCCACTTCTGCTTTTTACTCATTCATCCTTCCGCAGCATGCAAAAAAAACCAGAAAAGCACTGCAAGTTATGAACTAAATTCCATCACCTGGTCCTCACGCTTCCTCTTTTTTGCCTTTGCATTTGCTCAGTAATCCCAGTGTCAGGTAAAAGATGTGCACTCCAAGGTGTAAAAGCAAACACCTTTCTATTCTAACAACCCTCGCCAAAGGGAAGAGCCTTGTTTGCACTCAGAGCACTCCCAGTGCTGCAGCTCAGTGTTTTCTTTGACAATAATTACAAGGCAGTAAACACCTATGTCAGAGATATTGAGAAGTCTTGACTCTCTTCACACCAAAGCTCATACCTTGTTGGAGAATGGTTCCATCAGCATTAACTGGCTGATAGACTATGGTCTGGCCTTCAGCTGCTTGTGCTACCTGTTGTCCTTGAACTGCTATTTGTTGCTGGGTCTAAACAAAACAAACAACACAGTAACTTTACAAATTGCTCCATTTCCAACTTTTACAATTCCTGAATTAATACATGGTGCTTGAGGTGTTTCAGGCATCTATTTCTTTTGCTTTATTACCAGCATCAAGAAATAGGATGGAGCACAAACCAATTGAACTGCAGATAAAATACCTCAAGCACATCCAACATACTTTTTCTAACGGTGTAGCATTTAATATTGAAAGAAACAAGTTCTAGGTCTCCTGTCTCACTATGAATATGTTAAAAGAACTATTAATTTTGGTCCTAAACAGAAGAACCAGCAGAAACCCCACGCATGACTGGACTACTTCACAAATGGCGCAAGTATGACATTAGCAATACTTCATGTTTTCAAACTGCCACAAATAGACAAAACCGACCATGAACCAATAAAGTACAGAAACACAATGGATAAAAACATGCAATCTATTTATTCTGCCCCAGAATTATGTATGAAAACACTACAAAAACATGAAATTTATTCTCGAGTTTTCCTCAATATTAATAATGCCTTTTTTTTTCCCCACTTTTTTTCTTAACCACATCTTAAGTCATTTGCCAAGTTTCTCTTCCTGTTCCTCTCAAGAAAACCCTTTCATGCTGGTGCAGTTACCTGTGTCTGGCCAGCAGTAACTGCAGTCTGTGGCTGCTGTATAATGATCTGCTGGGTCTGGCCCTGCTGCCCCTGTACCTGCACAGCCTGCCCACCTTGAATCTGAATCTGACCTGGCTGGACCAACTGAATCTGTGGAAGAAAGAGTCAGAAAGGAACATTAACTATACCTCTTATTTCTCCCTCCTTGGCCTCAGCATTACCAAACCATCTCTGAGGATGATTTACTATTGCAAAGAAAAAGAAACCACTGATTCTTCTCTTTTTCCATTTTCAAATGAAGAGTTTTACTTTATTCCTCCCTGTGACACAGCAGTCACAATCATGCAGAATAGAGGAAACATAACATGCTGGTGTCATTATGCCCCAGCAGTTCTCCGCTGCTCACACAATAGAACGGTCAAAAGAAACAAGTTATTTACATGAAACTAGGAATAACACTACTACTCAGGTGAAAGAGGACTATGATTTAAGAAATCTGCAGAGTGTTAATTATCCAGCATACAGAAATCCTCCTGGATATACATGAAAGTTGCCTTCGGCTTTGCAGAGAAGTCTCTCCCGCAATGTGGAACATTTCTTACTTGAATAAAGAGGAACTGGAATGTGGTTTGAAGCTGATGCTTCAGTTATGGATTTTCCTCCAACGAGCAGACTGTAAAGAACCTTACACAAAATATAGCGGTTTTCAACAAAAGAGGTTTTAAATAAATGCTAAATAAACCTTCCAAAACACCGAGACATCAGATGCCTTCCTGGACTGTGCTCAACTTGATTCCTAAATCCCATTCTCAAATCACTAGAACACTTTCATTAAGCCACTGATACAGTTCTTCCCTTGGCTTTTGAGGAACACACTGTGAGCACCTGTTTGAATTTAAAAGCCATCTTTTAGACAAGTATGACAAACTATCTGCATCTAGTAAGATCCATCTTCTGCACCTTCTACAGGATTACCTTCTGTGCAATGGCAAAGTTTAAATTCATCTTCGGCCATCATGTATTAGATGAACTCAAGCACAAGAGTTATTTTTAAGAAGCTTTCTTAGATCAATCAATCAATCATCTTTCTGAGCCATATACTGAATAGGCACCACATCACCAACTACACGGTCAGGGCCAGTTAAAATAGGACAAACACAAGCCCCAAACCAAAAACCCCAAACCAACTCCAGCTGTGTTTTAATGGATCTCATTGAAAAGGTTTGCACCATCCCATAAAATGCAAAAATAAAACACACAAAGAGTATTTCCATTGCATTCTTAACACGCAGCTCACTGCCAAATCCACAGCTGGAGAACAACCTACTTTGCCCAGTTTATTTGAAGAGTGCCGAGGCAAATATAGTATCTGATGAGGTGAGAACATCCCAGTTCATTCTCCGCAGTTTATCTTGAATAAAATGAGGGTTATCTCACCTGCTGCAGCCCCTGTGTTCCAGAAACAGGGACTTGCATGATCGTCTGGCCCTGACCCCCGGGCACAGCCTGCACCATGATGGGCTGGCCCGTTGATGTGATCAGCTGGCCTCCGCTCACTTGGACCATCAGGGGTTGTCCCTGGACCTGGAAAAAGGGAGAAAAACCAAACACAACAATGAAAAGTCTGCTCAGCTGAAGCCAGAAACTGAGGTGGATACCACAGGAGGCTGAACGCTTACCTACTTTAATGTGGTGACCAGAGAAACTGCACAACAGTCACTAACCAGGTTCAAGATCACCATCAAGTATCTTAAGTTTCTAGATTCTTTTCCATGATGTGCTACTGGATTTAGTACATTAGCCTTTTCTGTTGCAGTCTACCCAAACCTTCCAAGTCTAATTGCAATGAAGCATGAAAAGCATGGCTAAATTTTCCCGACACAATAACTACTTTCATGCACAGCCCAAGAGCAAAGGGTAATAAAAGAAACTTCATTATTCACATCACTATTGCTAATCTTTAATTGAGGTTCCTAAAGAGAAAGCTCTAAATAAGCTATTCTGACAGAGATTCTGAGGTAGCTTCAGCTCTCTCCAATTACACGCTTACAACATTTCCATTTCCTAACTGATACCTTGCGTGGGATGTTCTTAGAGAATCTTTTCATGGGTATTAAGTGAAATTATAAATGTAGCAACATAAAGTGTAGCTCAGGAAGAAGCAGAGAAAGACAATGAGCAGCTCCCACTTGGCCCAGCGAGGCTTACAGTGGATTTGTAAGTTCAGTGTAAGAGCCTCTGGAGATTGAGACCAGGTATGTCTTGGGTCACTAGGAAAAAGACCAATGAAAAGCAAAGGAAGGGGAAAGCTTCTCTGTTTAAACACCCTCACCTGCTAAGTCCCCAAAATAGATCTTTGCCAATACCATACCTCCATGTCTTAAACGTGAAATAAGTCTTATGAACCAGGTGATCACTCTTGGCCACGCTCTCGGTTGTTTAGAAATGAGAGCAACACAACCTGATAAAACCTCACTGAGCTCTTGGGTTTTCTACCTGCAAATTTCAAGACCAGGCAATAGCGAGTGCTACTCCTCTGCAGTACTCAGCACTGCAGAACCCCAGGCTGGACATCAGCACAGATTTCCAGCACACGCTTTCCCACCCCTAAAATGCTTCACTTTGTACAGTTCAAATACCCGAGTGAATTACTAACACATCCACGGCAGCAACTGCAGTTGTACCTCAGCAATCACCACCCCACACACAATACTGTGACTTTCCAGGTGACCCGATACCCTTGTGCCACTGTTCTGTTCCTCAGCCTGTGGCACTCAAATCCCTAACAAACATGAGTAGTGCTTGTTTTGAATTACAACACAGAGAGAAGGAGGTAAGCATGCTCATGGCAGCCAGAGAAGCAAAATCAGCAGTACAATATCCAATAAGCAGAAACAAAAATGATTCATTCCAGGATTCTTGTTAATGGATTAGAGCAAGCAGGGGAAAAAGGGGACAAAAAAGAAAGGAGGCCCATAATGTCGACCAGGAGGCCACAGTGACCCAAGCATTTCATGTCAGCCAGCTCTACAGATTTGAACTCTGAACATAAAAAATGCTGTGTTTAACTTTACACCTGGCAAGACCATTCCAGCCTCCTGGAACTCCTCTCCTCTGAAGAATTCAAACTCAAACAAAATCAAAATCCTGAGTGAGAAATGCCCCACTTCTGACGTGCTACAGCTATCCAGGGTTTCTCAGCTCCTTTTAAACCTCCGACCTGAGCTAATGAAATGAAGTCTCCAAGACAGAAAATGCTTCACACTGAAACAAACCAGGGTTTGAAATGATCTTGCTGTTCTGTTCACTTTAGGATACATACTTCTGGGTTTCCCTGTGTTGGTCACACATAAATAAGAAATCAGATGTCTCAATCTCACAGAGGCCAGTATTGTCCCCAGGTGCCCTTTTGAATCGCAGGTGAAAACGTTTCACTCTCCAAGCTTATGGGTCATCTACCTCCTCCCTGTCTGTAGTGAAAACACTCTCAGTGGATATCAGAAACCTCATCTCCCTGAAACAATATGAAATCTTTGGGTTACATATCTCCACTGTTACTTCCTCATCTTGGTGGGTTTCTAAGTCCCATTTGAACCATCATTCACTTTCAGAATATGCAGCCAGAATTCCTGAAGGCATCAGGGTTTCTGGCACGCACCTGAGAGCCAAGGAAAAGCTTTCCATGCTCTCCATGGAAAACCCTACGCCTAGCATGAAGCACAGATATTACTGCTAGCAAATTTTCCTGTTCCTCCTTCAAACCCTGGAGAAAACACAGCATTAGATATGTGGCGATGGCGAGAGTCATGCAGTGCTCACAAACACAATTAGAGAGATCACCACTACCTGGAGGGTCTGGACTTGCTGGCCTGAGGCGGATGCCACTTGGGCCTCAGTCTGCAGCTGGACAGCAGTGACACCACCCTGCTGCTGGGAACAGGAACAGGAATAGCTTGAAACATGGAAATGCACAACTCCAACAAGAGACAACGACACTTTGCTGGAAGAGGGTGAATTTATAATTCATACACACTGCTCTTGGAACACAAGGGATGTGAAGATGTTTAGCAAACCTGAGGAAGGAATACCAACAAAACTGCACGCAGGCTTCACTATCCCAAACAGGAACAGCTTACAAAGACATGAGATTATTCTGCAGAATTTAACATCTCGGCCTCAGTGTTTCAGACTGCTGCCTTTCTGCTTACCTCTTCCTTTCACTGCCCATGTTTCTTCCTGTGAAGGGGTTCCAGATTTTTGTCAGACTGTTAGTTACAATAAAGGCCTTAAATTCCTTCCTGCACAGAGCAGCAGCACAGATGACTCCAGCCTAAGCTTCAGCTATGTCACCCCCACGTCGAAGTCCTCCCACCCTGACCTTGAAGGACAATCTTGAGAGGTTGCAAGAGCAGTTAAATCTAAAAGCCTTTTCTATCTTTAGCCTCTTTAGTAAGAGTCCCAAAATATCTGTGTTAACTGTGCTGGGAGATGAAGGACATCTCTCTACTAAAAGCTGTACTACAACAGGCCTGTTAAATGTTTTATTGTAGAGAAACATTTCAGTCATACACAACCCAGGCTTTAAGAGCACGTACTGAAAGTGAAACAAGCCACGGTATGCATTTACCTCATTATCACCTACAAAGTGTCAAGAAAACCAAATAGATCTTTGGTTATCTGCTGTAGCAGGTATTTTTGATGATTCTTAGTGTTTAATTTTTTAACCTCAAGTACAATCTTGTTCTGGCTGAAAAAGTCAATTTCAACTAAAAGCAATGGCAGAAGCTGGTCCCTGCTATCAAATAGGCTGGGGACAAAGCAAAGCCCATTTCACTGGAAACATCACCGAGTGGCTCATTCATTTGCACAACAAACTAAGAAACTCCCCTTCTCTTGAACTGGAGCAAACATAAGATACAACAAAATTCAGCAGCAGCAGCACAGCTCACCTGAAAATGTGTTACTGCATCTGAATGGGTGAAGCTTAAGAGGAGAAATCTGTAAGCCCTTAAAAAGCCCTGGCCCTTCTCATCTGCACATTATAACACAAACTAGAAACGTCTTTCTGGAGGATGAATTCATGCAAAGCTACATGTTTTGCTGCAATTCCTGTGCTGTGTGTTCTTTCTGATCCACCTGTAGTTCTAAAACAAAGGATCTCAATAAATATTCTTTCTGAGAAAGCCTCTATGGGGCTGGAACAAAACCTATTCCAAATCTGGGGGGAAACTACATTGTTCTGCGTGGACAACAGACTGTTTCTATTAATTCTCCATTTCCTCCAGAGAGGATTTGTTACTTTCCTCATGTCACCACCAGTTTGCAAACTCCCATCTACATGAAATTTGGCAGCTTGTGCACCTGTAATTCTATTAACTTAATAAGTAATTTTCACAAACCACATTTAGTGTGACTTCAAGCCAAGTCAGATCAGTGACCACAGATCAGGTGGCTAAAGCTGGTCAAACACGTATCTAGACAGTATCCTGAAGCATCTGGCTGGTGCAGTGAAACTCTGAGAGTACAGGAAGATGTGTAACAGCACTGAGCATCCCAGCTCACCCATTGCACCCTCCATACCTGCTGCTGAATCTGTCCAGCCTGCACAACGATCTGCTCTGTGGAGCTGTTGCTGTTTGCTGTGTACTGCTCCATACTGGGTCAGCTCCAGCACGGTGGAAGGCACACCTCAGCCTGTGTTATCTGGCAAGAGAAGTGAACAAAGCCCATGATTATTGTGCCAAGGTTTCAAAGTTACTGTTACCTGACAGTGCCTGAAAAGCAAATCATCTGCTGGCACCGAGGTTAGAACCACAGCAAAGAGCCACTCTTTAAATCAAGGACCCACCTCTTTCAAAGCACCCACTAACAGAACTACAACTGCCATTTCAAGAGCACCTCGTCTGACCAAGAAGCAGAAAGTACCTCAATCTCAACGCTCTCATTATCTTCAGTGCATCAAATAGTAGCTATAAGCCTGTTTCTCTTCCTGTTTTACCCCTCAAATCTGAATATTCTGGGCTGTAGACTGATGCCTGCACTGCATATTGGTGGGAGAGGGACGTGATGGTTAAAACCTCTCGCCAAATACAAAGTTCACATGTAAAACCAAAGTGTGTTTCAAGAATTCAACAAAACGAAGTGCAACTTTCCTTCCCCAACTACACAGCACTCCCTCCTCATCTCTCTTTCTTCTCTTCCTATTTTCCTATATTTGAGAGTAGCCAGCAGACTTCCCACTGCCCCCTGCCTTTTACTGCCTCCCCGGTCCTGGACTCTTGCCTGCACATCTGAGGAACACACTGCTGAAATAAAACACTCAGTTCCATTACCTCCTTCTCCCTCACATTGCTTCTCAGTTGATCAACAAGGGAAAGATTCTTACTTGTGCTCTTTAACGAGGTATTTGATTTATGCCATGACTGAACAAGTACCTGCTACATTAGTGAAAGGCGATCTATAACTTTAATCTTGGAATTCTAAAGCACCAAAACCTCCAGACTCCTTCAAAGAAACACACACAAAACCCAGTCACAACTTTAGCTGCAACAGTTGCTGTGGTTACTGCTGCAGCAGTGACACCTCTCATGCTTCCTGCTCTTTAAACCATTCTTTGTACTTCAGTGTCTTGCATTTGTCTTAAGAATGCTTCGGTTTTTTCCATCAACTTACTCCTCACCGTAGCCTAAGAAAACAGAATGATTTTACATTTTCTGGGTTTCTTGCACATTAACACCAAATATAGGCCTGGCAGGAAACAGCTCCCACATTCCACTCTTCAGGGATGTATTTCAATAGCAAGCCCAGGAGGCCAGTAAACCCTGTTTGCCAAAAGTTTTCTGGCTTCCTTAACACCACAACCAGCACTCGAGCACAGGCCCACCACAGCTTGGGGATGGTTCTTCACACCCCCAGTATTGAGTTGCTCTCTTGTGTTCTTGACGTACTGGAAGGGTTGAAATCCCAACTCTCTGCACTGGCTGCCACCAAAGTTACAAACAGAAGATTTTACAGGCATTTGATCACAGTCCTCCAAGGGATTATTTAGAATCACGGCATGGTTTGGGTTGGAAAAGACCTTAAAGCTCCTCCAGCTCCAACCCCTGCCACGGGCAGGGACACCTTCCACTAGAGCAGGTTGCTCCAAGCCCCTGTGTCCAACCTGACCTTGAACACTGCCAGGGATGGGGCAGCCACAGCTTCTCTGGGCACCCTGTGCCAGCGCCTCAGCACCCTCACAGGGAAGAGCTTCTGCCTCAGAGCTCATCTCAATCTCCCCTCTGGCAGGTTCAAGCCATTCCCCTTGTCCTGTCCCTCCATCCCTTGTCCAAAGCCCCTCTCCAGGTTTCCTGGAGCCCCTTTAGGCACTGGAGCTGCTCTAAGGTGTCCCCTTCAGGAGCCTTCTCTTCTCCAGGCTGACCCAGCGCAACTTCCCCTCATTCAAACACAGAGCACCAGCGTTACTGCTCCAGTTAGGAACGGGCGCTGCCCTGCAAGGCCACACGGTGCTCCTGGAGCTGCCTCCTCAGCCAGCGCCTCCTCCCTGGCCCTGGGCTGCCCGACAGTGCCCTCGTGTTCTTGTGCTGCCAGGTTGTTTCAGACCCGCACGCACACACTGACAGGAGGCTACAGGAGCTGCACACAAACCGCGCTAAGCCCCAGCCAGCGCGATAACCCGTGCCAGGCCCTGGGCGCTTATAAACCACGGGGGACCACGTTTTGTCTCCGAGCTCCTCACCCAACACACGGCTCCGGGAGC